AACTATGTGTAACATTCTGCAACTGCTATATCCATATACTAAAAATGAAGGGAGATATCTCAGCGTTAGTCAATATGGTGTGAATAGATCCACCCTTTCTGTAAATAATTTGTTGTTCTTCATCCATTTTACCTCTACCCAAGTTCTTAGTTTTTACATCAGTTGTTTTCATAACTCAAATATTCTTCATTTTTGAATATTCTATGGGGATTTTCTGTTTTCATAACTGTCGTGCACCGAGGCAACTTTAGTGTACATTGAGTTTGTGAAACAGCCCAGCAATCCGTGACTAGTTAAACAAAAGTGGGGGTCTGTTCGTCGGATCTCAGTATAAACTAATAAGCATGTATCTCAAGCAAATAAGTGTTTAAACGTTAACCTATATAACGATTGAAGACTTATGCTCCAGGTAGTCATTATCAAAGACAGTTGTTGCACTTGTTACTTCAAATCGAAATCTTGAGGTGAATCAACTCATGTCACCAAACACTACAACTGCTCATTATTTAGCCCTATGGAACTGCACCTGTAATGTCATAACTGGACAAAGTTCTGCTTACCACATTCGCTTAAGGAAGTCATATTTGTAATATTGGTAATCAAATTTGGCAGTCATAAATGCCAAGTGTATTACGATAAATAGGGGACCTTTATTATTAGAATTGATACCTATAACTAATTAATCACAGGACTGAAGCCTGTAAATACATCTAGTTTCTCACTAAATTGCGTCAACTAAAACGCTGCTCATAGCGACGCCACTGATAATCATTAAGTTGTTTCATATCCATCACTCCCAAATATTTGTGGCTTTAGATTTCTAATGTTTCTAACCATAGTGGCTTGAAAATATCCTCTCCAATATCGATGGTTAGTGACTGGCCTAGGGTGTTTATGAATTCAAGGTTCGCAGTGTAACATCGAAAGATTATCCATAGAAATCTCATGGCCAAAGTGAAGTCTAACAGACGCCTGTTACTTCTAGCTGTCATTGTGCGTTAGAAGTAACAGGCGTCTGTTAGACTTCACTTTGGCCATGAGATTTCTATGGATAATCTTCTAGCTGTCATTGTGCGTTACCCGATCGAAGCTGCTACCTTGACGCGGTGGTCGGGCTTGCCTATCGTGATGACCCAACCGAGCTATATTGGCTGGAACATATGTTCCTGTAGGTTCTACCATGCCAGGCAGGTCGATTGGTGAACGGTAAGACTAAAAGCAGCAACTCAAGGTCTGAGGGCGAAGTCGTACTGCTGACTGTAGAGGGTGTGACAGCAGTAAGGTGTTTCCTTCGGACAACCAGCATGACAGCGATGCTGCCTTCCCACAAGGAGGGGTGGGGTTAGAAAAGGTCGACCCTAAAAATGTCACACCTCACCTTACCTCACGGATTTCCGTCTCCGGCGGTAAGGCCCTTTGAAGAACGGAGCTAACACGTCAAAAACCTTCCACAAAAAGGCCGTGCGCGACCGGCCTCAAGCAGTTGTCCCTTGGGCTCTGCGGTCACGCTCCCAGGTCGTCAAGACCAACACTAATCCAATTTCCTTTTCAGGTTCCTCAAGAAATACCCTTCCACGGTGTGGGCAGCCGGGAAGTGACATCAGCCCTCATACCCGTAACAGCACAAGAGACCAAGGTGGTCACATTCAAATCCTTCCTACACCTCCTAATACCTCTCTTATCTCCATGACTAACCCTCCTCACGTCTCTTTATCACCTCGCACCGCTAGGGCAAACGATTCGAGTACGTGGAACGCCATTCCTGGTCTCCTGAAACCACGCTCTAAACTACACGTAGGAGCTTTTAACGTACGAACACTTTGCCAAATAGGACAGCAGGCTTCCTTAGCTAAAACTTTAGAATCTCGCGCCATCGATGTGTGCTGCGTCTCCGAAACGCGCATACAGGATCCAAGTAGCGTCATTCATTTGACCTCACCATGCCAAAATAAAGAACCGACTCGATTTACGCTTCGTGTATCTGGAAGCCCTGATTCTGCTTCCCGTGGCCTCGCCGGCGTAGGTATAGCATTGAGTCCTAGGGCAGAACTAGCTCTCTTAGAGTGGATCCCAGTAGACAGTCGTTTGTGCGCTGTCCGACTGAACGGAACAGTAAGAATCCGGAAAGATAGGGACACTCGTCGTTGCCTCTTCGTCGTCTCTGCCTATTCTCCCACTGACTGCAGCTCAGATGATGTAAAAGATGAGTTTTACAGAAAGCTTTCGGACCTTCTCCGAAAAGCTAAGCGCTCGGATGTAGTAATAGTGGCCGGTGACTTTAATGCTCAAGTAGGTAAACTAAGCGATAGGGAAAGACACCTAGGTGGATCTTATGGTGTCGTGGCTCAAAGAACAGATAATGGCGACCGTCTGTTGCAGCTATGCTCAGATAACCGCCTGTTCCTTGCAAATACTAACTTTAAGCATAAGGAAAAACATCTTTTAACATGGCGACCCCCTAATTCGTCCCAACGTTGGACCCAAATAGATCACATCGCTATCAGCCACCGATGGAGGGGCTCGATAGAAGACTGTCGCTCATTCTGGAGCACATGCCTAGATTCAGATCATGCTCTAGTGCGAGCGCGTATTTGCTTGCGTCTTACTGGACGTAGGAAAGACGCTGCAAGGAAACCTCTTAGGGCCTACTTAATGATAGTCAAGCTAAGAGTATATTTCAGGAACAACTAGGAAAACAGTTAGGCAGCCATGTATGTGATGCCCACCCCGATGCAGCATGGAATGATATCCGAAAAGCTGTGGAAACAGCAGTGATATCTGCTAGTAAGGTAAACCAGAAGGTTAGGGAGCAACACTGGATCTCAGCAGCATCTATCGCACTGATAGATGCTCGGAAACTCATTCCACCTGGCTCTGAACATAATGAAGAGCGGAGTCAGCTTAAGCGCAAGCTGACAAGAAGTCTACGCAATGATCGCGAACAGTGGTGGGTAGCGAAAGCAAGAGAGATGGAAAAGGCAGCGGCAATAGGTAATAGCAGACAATTGTTCAGACTCGTTAAGGAAACCGGAATTAGGAACCCGACCGTTAGCGAAACAATCTCAGAGAAAGATGGACATATTATTCATTCTCAATCCAGGAGATTGGATCGATGGGCAGAACACTTTAGGGATCAGTTCAACTGGCCTTCAGCCACACTTCGGTTTCCCACGATCTCCAGTCAACCTGAATGGCAAGTTAATGTAGGTCCTCCGTCCCTTTACGAAGTTGAAAAAGCCATAGGAAATCTGAAACGAGGGAGAGCAGCAGGCCCTGACAGGTTTACTCCTGAGATTTTTAAGGATGGTGGTCCAGTATTAGCAATGAGATTAACTGAGGTCTTAGGTAGAATTTGGGAACTGGACGTAATCCCATCTGACTGGTCTCAATCACTGATTGTGCCAGTCTATAAGAAAGGACAAAAGTCCTCTTGTGACAATCACAGAGGAATCAGTTTGACTAATATAGTGTCTAAAATATTAGCTTCAATAATACTTCGACGCCTAATCAAAGCTCGTGAAGAGCAGACTAGAGAAAACCAGGCTGGTTTTCGACCTGGACGTGGTTGTATAGATCAGATATTCACACTACGTCAGGTTCTAGAACACAGACACACATTCAGACGCCCCACAATGGTAGTATTTCTCGACCTTAAGGCGGCATTCGACTCTGTTGATCGTGAGGTTCTATGGCAGTGTTTGTCACTGAAAGGAGTACCAAAGAAGTACATTAACCTTATAAAGGCTCTCTACTCGAACACAACTGGTAGAGTGAGAGCTTATGGCGAACTGTCATCAGAATTGATTACCTCAAGTGGTGTTCGTCAGGGCTGTCCACTCTCCCCATTCTTGTTCAACTTTGTCATTGACGTACTTTTAGAGATAACACTCTCCTCATCTAAATTTACAGGGGTTGAACTTCTACCGGGAGGTTCACTTGTTGACTTAGAATATGCTGATGACATAGTTTTATTTGGTGAAGACGCTGACAAAATGCAGAGTCTTCTGACCACTCTAAGCAACAATGCAAGCATGTTCGGGATGCGATTCTCTCCCTCGAAATGCAAAATGTTGCTTCAGGATTGGGTTACATCGACACCCGAACTAGTGATAGGGAGTGAAGTAGTTGAGTGTGTCGACCGCTTCACTTATCTTGGAAGTCTCATCAGCCCTTGTGGTTTAGTGTGTGACGAAATCTCAGCACGGATACAGAAGGCTCGACTAGCTTTTGCCAACTTGCGTCATTTATGGCGTAGGCGAGATATCCGTCTATCAACCAAAGGACGTGTTTACTGCGCAGCAGTTCGTTCCGTCCTACTTTATGGCAGTGAAACATGGCCGGTAAGAGTAGAGGATATTCGTAGGTTACTAGTATTTGATCATAGGTGTCTTCGAAACATTGCTCGTATATCATGGGACCATCGAGTAAGTAACACAGTTGTTAGGAAACGGGTACTAGGTAAGGATGGCAAATCAATTGATGAAGTAGTGAAACTTCATCAGTTGAGATGGCTGGGACACGTGTTACGTATGCCCAACGACCGACTGCCTCGACGTGCTATGTTCAGTGGTATAGGAGTAGGTTGGAAGAAAGCTAGGGGCGGCCAAACCAAAACATGGCACAAGTCCATGAAGTCACTGACAAGTGAACTGAGTCATGTTGGTAGGTGTAGACTACCTGGTTGGGGACCGCGAGATGATAGCAACCGATGGTTAGAGACCCTGAATGACATGGCTCAAAATCGTTTGCAATGGCGCAGGTGCATCCACTCTCTGTGTTCTCCCAAATTCTAATCTTCTGAATCCTTCATGTCCCTTTTTTCCTCTTTCCAAATTTATTTCACTGGATTATACTCTTTAAATAACATCTCCAAACCCTAATCTTCCCGATTACTGCTTATACTCTTATTACCTCTACCACTACGGGATTTGAATCGACAACTGCATCTCTGTGCTAATGTGGTGTGGCAACTCGAACTGATGTACGTACGTACGAAGTTCTACGTTGTTACTGACTGACTGACATTGTGCGTTAGCTGCCGAGTTTTCATTTGTTAGTTCACTGATTTTGTAAATCTCTAAAATGTTTATAAAACCTCATTCTTAAGGAGTAAAATGAATATTTTAGTTATGTGCAAAATAAAACTGGATTTTTACCCGTGTCAACACCTGAAGAGTACAAATGGCGTTCACAAACCCCATTAGTTGTAAAAAAAGAGTGTAATTCAAAGACTAGAATTAGTTAGTTTCATAAAAAATAAGCTATGATGAAAAAAATAAGAGGAAACATTTGAGTTGTTACAGCAGTAGACCTGTAATGAAAGTGAAAGTGATGAATAATGTCAACGGTGATACAAATTTCTACGTAGATTTAATCTGAAAATGAATTATCTTCAGAGTCAATCTCACCGCATAGTGGGTAGTTTTCAGGTTTCGGTCATCTTTAACCTTTGAAAGTTCGGGATTTCTGCATTTCTTGAGAAATCGCCATAAAATGTATAAAAGAATGGATGATATGTAGATCATGTTCATAAGGAATGAAACGACAGATATGCAAATTATGAAAGAAACCTGTGGATAGTAGTATAGAACGTTTTGAAATCCGCTAAGCGTCGTCTGTACTTTAAGCTCCAAAGCTGACCATAAGTAGCGTTTGGACTCCATAATGATACGACCTTCCAAAACTGGTTGAGTCTAAAACGTTAATCAGTTGCAACTAAACAGATATCTGTGCTCATGTTAATATAAAATAATGTAACGAAAAGATTATTTCTAACTTGATGAAATGACAATCAGCTAAGCGAAGTTGCATTAAAAAATACAGGGAATAATTTATAACAAACTGATACAAATTATAAGTTTGCCATGGCAAGTCGACAACCGTCGCGATTTCAACAAATTTTGTTTCAGTGATCCGTTAAGCAGTTGCTCTCTTTTCCCTGCAAATTATTGAGAAGAGTTGGTGGAGGTCATCAATATGCCCATCATCGACCAGACGTTGACTGATTGCACTGTTTACGGGTGTGGAGTCGTTTAGGTTTAAGTTTTCTGGAAGGTGATCGTAAACGTAACTATGGTCCCTTCTCTTTATCCTTTTAATACTTGTTCTTTAGCCGTTGCACAGACAGTCTTAAATGTGGTATTTATTCTGAGACTAGTTGGTCCAACAGTCTCATTCTTTTTGAAGACAAGGTGAGGGCAGTAAATTTAATTTACAACTGTATTCCACTTGATGCGTTCGTCCTAGAATGCTTATTGGTGAATTTCTGTGTGCATTTATACGTAAATATTTTTAACGATTACGATCTTTCTTTAAAAGAAGAGTCTCTAACCAATGGTTGGAGACTTGGTGACGTGGCTCCGAATCGATTACAAAGGTATCGGTATATACACTCTCTGTATTCCCTTAAACTAAGAGATTAAAATCGCTTCATATATTTCTTTCTACGAACTAATTCTTCCTGTACTATATCTTTATATGCAATCGTTCTTTTATATATTACCACCTCTGAATTAACTACTTTTATGAATCCGGTGTCCATCATGTTGTGTTAATGAGGTATGGCAACTTGGACCGATGCATATATATGCCTGGTCCTACGTTGTAGCTGACTGAGAAGAGAGCCTACTAGTACGGCTAAAAAGCGGTTAGTATAACCCCTGTTTTACAGAAACTGTTTTAGTTCGGGTTCCACTCTTTAGATCTCGGAAGTCAACTAGCTCCAAGTGCGAAGCTACAAATATATTTATCGCGAAAACATGACGTGAGGTTCATCTGTTTTTAGTTATGCAATCTTTGCTTAGCTTATTGCTCTTTTATTCATTTGAAAATTATCTTTCACTAGCTTAATTCGTGAACTTATGCTGATATCCACTGTCAATTAAATTTTCTAACTAGTATTTACTGTTATCATCCTAAACGTGTAAGGTTGTAAGCTACTGATAAGAACTCACCGAATAAAAGCAGATTTCTATTATTTTGCGTCGATTGTTTTTTTTTGTTTTATCCAAAAAAATTTAAACGTGTTTAGAGTTCATTTGCGATCCACATAACTCAATATTAGTAGCTTTGAAACAAAATGTCTAAATTTATAAGTTAGAACTGGTGATGCCCAGTAAATGAAGTGACTGTCAAGTTGTTCTGCTGCAAACTGACAGTTTAAATTTCTGTTAATAATCTCACAGTTATCAAGTCGTAATCATTTTAAACAGGATTTGCAGTGATATATTCACAATCTGATATTTTTAGTCATGAAAAACCGAAGCTTTCTGTCGTTGCAGAGACAAGTGGAAGATCCTATATAGCTTTTTGATTTTCAGCCCTATCCTTAAAAACAGGTAATCGTGGAAAAATTGCTCTTTGATATATTCATATCCAATGATTAGCCGAAAACAAAACATCTTTTACTAACAGTAATGAAATTGTAGTGAAACATTTTACGTGATCTTTCTTGGAGTTGGAGCCAAGTATCTCCTTAATGCTTGGATCTCAACGGATTCTATTCAATGCAAACCTATTATTGTTTGTCAAAGTGATTCCTAAAAGCTACTTTTTTAATTCCATTGTATGCAAGCGACTAGTTTTCCAAAAAGACTAATAAATTATTGTAACACTAGTAATTTCAAGTTTTTGTAACACAGTGGGACCTATACAGTAGCAAGGTGAATGGTTTGAGTGCGCATCACTTATTTTCCAGGTTTATTTTGAGGCGGGAACTTCTTGGTAAACTACATTGGCAGAAAAAATCATGGCTTGGAAATTTTAAACCGTTAGCATCAATTTAAAAAATAATTAGGTATACAGTAGTAAACTGACCGCATCGAACTGGAAACTAGATGACATCTCAATTGAAAGCAGCAGTTCTTCTTTCATCCTACCGATTATATACAGGGGGGCAAACAGTATATTATTTATCATTCGAACTTCATTAGATCGATAAGGCATTGAAAACTACAAAAAGAAGCAACATTTCTACGAAATAGTAAAACAATAAAAAGAGTGGTGAACTATCTACCAAGAACAGAAAGATAGTTTTGGAGATTAGTGTGGGTTAGCGCTTCAGCCAATAGACCAGTAAGAAATAAGACTCTCTGGATCGCTGTTATATTCTAGTTGGATACCATCAGGAGAGAACACGTACAACTCCTCTAGGGATCGAGCTTAGAACCTTCATGTTTAGCAGAAGACGTACGTATCAATCTCGTAAGCATGTGCTCATAAAACAGGTAGAGTTCAGAGAATAGAATGTTCGTGTGAATTTTAACTCATCTTCTGGAAATACATTTCACTTTATAGTTATTTGATGCAATTAGAAATTTATGAATATTACCATAACAGTAGTGGTATTAGCACCATTTCCTTCAGATGAAAATCGGACAAGGGGACTAGGAAGTTCCTTGTTTGAATATTAAAAGATAAAGGAAGCAGGGAAATCAAGTTAAGTGGTTGGAAGTGAGAGAATTGAGAAAACAGACTTGAACACAGTACGAAGAATGTTGGAGCGAACACTCGCTTTAGATAACTTTGTGATATGGCTCTACAGCCAACGATACAAAATTATCGTATTACACTAAATAAGGTGTCGAATTTGAAATGACTAGCGTTATAAGTAGTAAGTTTCACGTCGATTGAATTTTTAATACTACAAATACAAAAAACGTCGTTGGTCAAGTTAGAAAGATCATATGCTTTGAGCCCCAATCAAATAGTATATAATGATGTCGTACAATGTTTTATTGCATAACTGTAAGTAAAATTTACACCATGTTTGTTACTTTGTCCCATTTTGTGAATATGGATTCAGTAACGAAATCTATAAATTGATTTTTACTTAACTGCTAATTTGTTTAGTTTTTCGAAAGATAAGAGTGTAATCTCCTGATATTTTATGCTTTGTTACAAAAAGATGGTTGAAGATCAAATGCACTAAATCTTTGGAGGACCAATAGCATAGTATTGATTTTTCGAGAATAGTCTCGTTTGGCTATAACCTTGGGAGAAACATCCTGTTGCCAGTAAAATGAAAGACCTATAGTTTCAAATCTCAACCTATTAACGGTAGCTGATACGTTTATCACTGTGGCTGATTTTTGAAGCATCTACTTAAAGAGTTATGCGTAAATACATAGTATTTTTTAACTATTTGCACAAATTATGCGGAATGCTGTTAACTCAAATTGTTTTAAACAATCGTTAACAAATAAGACTGGAATTTTCACAGCAATACTTCAAACTTACTGGTTTTCTGAATCGCTGTATAAGAACATGTTCACGGCCATATAGTTCTAGGGTGATAATACTCATACCTGATGAAAAAATAATATTCAGTATTAAGATAATAATGAGTATCTTAGTAAGAACACAACGTAACAATAAACAACCATAAGGAAAAAAGCACGTACATTCTACAGTACAGTTCATTTAATAGAAATATGATGACGTGAAAAGTTGCCTAAATAGAAAAAGCGAAGAATGTCTCACTAAGATCTACAGCTTGTCAAATTTTTATGCCTTCGGATGATCATGGTTTGCACCTGTCTTACAGAGTAAAAGCACAGATGATTCAAATCTTTCAGATACAATTATATACTGGGGTAGAAAGTTGAGAAAAACACGAGATTGGTCAGTACTAAACACTATAAATTTGTATTTTATTGAACAGTTTATTCAACGTCAGCAGGTTATTGATCATCTAGAAATATAAAACGATGTTCAACCAACCACGGATAATGCACTTTACTTAATAACGTTGGTTGTGTTTGAAATACAGCTCTTTACTGATAAGCAATTCATAATTGTTTGATTTAAAATTAACATCGAATTATACGATGCAACTGCTAGTCCAGATGAGATGACAGTTAATGTCATATAAGACAATAACCCTTGACGATTGTTGGCTCAAAGACCTAGTTGTAAATTTAGTTTGTCGTTGTTTATCAGTACGTTAAGCGTCTTGGAGAGATTTTAAGCTTCTCAGAGATTATAGTCAACATTACTCTACATTACAATCATACGTTGACAATGTGCTGGGTGAGCTGAGATTGGTTTTTGCAAAGTGGTTATGGGTCCCAAAAAGAATAGGATATTTTTGGTTATGAAACACATTTTGAAGGTGACTACCAGCAAAAATAACATTATTACTATGGTTTTCCGACCAAATACCTTTAGATACACATCTAGTTTTGTATTCACTTGGAGATCATAACTAAATGATAGAAAACTAAGACCACTAAACCATAAAGAGGGGAATGTGAGGATAGAAACCACTCACCTGCATTTCTATTATGAATGGAATCTGGAAGCCATAGGTTTAGCATGAGCATGTACGGATATTTGGGTGTTAAGAGCTACAAACCATTCATAATTTAGAACAAGAAACTAACAGATATTCCACTTTCAGAAACAGAGAAATTGGCTGTAGGAAAACTGCAAACGTTGGGACACCCCGTTCGTACACTACATTTTGTACTAAAATTGAAGTAAACAGACAAGGGGAAGGTTAGCATACTCAAACACTAAATCTAATTCTCTTTCCAATTTTACGGTTGGAATGTATGTTTGGTATAGGAGAATAAACACCATAACTCCATACGCAAAAGTCACTATTTCAATCATCAAAAATAACAGAGCATAGTGGATAGCCTTCCACGGTATTGAAGATAACCAGGACGCATCGTAACCGATTTTACCAAGCATTAGAGTACAATATATTATTGCTGAAAGTGAAAAATTAGTTTATACTTAATACTGAAACACGTGTTTTTTAATACAATAATCATAGACCACAATCTGTATTGAAAATTATCATATCAGGCAAACCAGGAATAAATTTTAACAATGTTTATTATTAGGAAATTCATAGTGATTAACAACAGTCATTTCAACTACTTGCTAAAATAATAAAAAATATGTCGACAAACTTTACAAATATTTCTTACAATTAATCCATAAGCTGTAACGTGGAAATCTATAGAAGTCAAAAGTACAGGCTTACTAATAACTATATCTCCTTTTTATCTAAAACTTCACCAATAATCAGAAGAGACTAATCCCATGTAGGGTCGTATACTATTATTGCTAAGAAGCTCCGCTTTAGGATGGAACATACCCGAAGCTATTTAATATCCACTGGTTTTCCAGCTGACACTAGTGTACGATATATACCATCTTCAAATAGTACTGATTATTATATCTACCCATAAGAGTTATGGATAATTTGGTCAGATATCTCGTGATATTTGTCTAAAGTTGTTACCCGGTTATTAGAAAGCAGTACATTGGTCCACTTGGTCAATATATTTTGCTTTAACAAGCATAAAGTTTTAAGATCTGACCACAGTAACTGTTGGAACAGTAGTTGCTTATGGTGGAACCAGGTGAGTAATGCAGAGGCTGGGTGCAGAAGGATAGTTAAAGGTGATGAAATGACTGACGAAGCTGTAGATATTCATCTACTGGGTGGTTGATATAGACCAATAAAACGCCATTCGATGATATCGCATTATTAAACCAAATTATTTCAACAGATGTAGACTATCTGATTGTGGTACATAGGATCATCATGATCGCAATGAAGAGCATATGCCAGTTACTTACCTTTCTCTGAGTTACAAATTTTGTTTTTCATTACCAACAAAATTCTTACTTCCAATTCTTTGTTTATCTCCTGGCTAATTTTTTTACAGTGTAGCGACTTTAGCATTAAGAATTTTCGCAAACTTGCACTTTTTCCCTTAAGTAAATAAGTAACGTTAATAAGACGTGGTTCCTAATGGAAACACGAAAGAAATAGAGATATCCTTCAATGCTTGTATGTATAAAGAATAATGGCTGCTGAATTATGAATACCAAATACGTTTGTTCAATAGAGTGACATATCAAATAACTAGTGTTCATTCAGAAGATTCAACAGTCAACTCTTTATAATGTACGAAGGCTTATAAATGTGACAAGTAAACTTAAATATTAACATTATTTACCTTGATTTTGTGAAATGAATTTCTGGTAGTAGCACTTCATGTTCAGGTGTACAAAGATGTAGACAAGTATGAAACACTCTCGTGAATGGAAGTCATAAGTAAAGGATGAAGTATTTACTCTGGATTACTTTTCTGAGAGGTATTCAGCACTTCGAAAAATAGCTTTTTATGCATGTCAATATACAGGGGGTTGCTCAGGTGAAATTATATTGTTTTCGAAAAAAGTGCTCCGATAAGCGATATGTTCAGAATCCATAATCTCCAACAGCAACATTCATACTTAGTTCGTAGTACCCTGTTCTACCGTACTTGTTATAAAACAATACTTAGTTGATTTTTCAGGAACCGAAACCGATGAATATGGTAAAGATGCATATGTTTTTGGTAAAGTAAAACGGTTAAGTTGGTTTATTTCCACTAACTAACACGTTACAGAGACAGATCAAATTCCCAATATCGAAGTCCTAGAGCAGCTAAGATTTCGGTTTTAAAATATTACCGTCTACTTCCGACTGAGGAGTATGATTGTGCTAGGTCCCTAGCAAAGGCCATGAGATGAAGTTCGAAAATGTGATCGCAAAGATACCACATTGTAAAATGAAGTAGAAGCTTGGAATAAGTGAAATACTTTAAATATAGGCTCATAGACACGCAAATGCTGGTCTGATAAAATACCAACTTACAAGAATCACGTGGTTGGCCCTGTAGGAAATAAACGCTTAAAAGGATTGGCAAGTCGAAGATCAGAATGTTCTTGATTTTAAGATGAAGAAAAGTGTTTATGAATCTAGAAACACTGAGAAGGAAATTTACTACTTCGATGATTACGAAAAGTATGATCTGATTCCTTAGTCAAGTATATGACATCTTGGACACTAGATACAAAATGTTAACACTAAGAACTTAGGTATCACAGACAAGATGTTGAACCGTTGAGGGGTTTCTATTTAGAAAAAGACTCCCAATCTCCCAAATTCGAGGGAAATTTTGCCAACCTTTTGGGAACCCGAACTAGAAAACTTAGGGGAATGAGACGAAAACCCCAAGACTTTCCCTAGTTTGAGATTTTTCCACAGAATTTCAAGCTGTTTAAGGGAAATACTCAAGAGTTTTGGTCCTTACCGAAATTCCCCCAAACTTCAAAAGAGACTACGAATTTTGATGTGAACTTGTGGTAAATCCCAGGAATCATCTGAAGTTTCGCAATTTCTCGAAAATCCAGATATCGGGCTTGAATAACATAATCCGGATTATGCAGCTGGCCAGCTGCAAAACAGATCACAGATAACCTGGGTAAACTTTCATTCCGTTTACTATATTTCAAGATCGGCTCGTAAATTTACTAGCTATGATGCTTTGCATACTATTAAAAACATTTTTCTGCAGAAAATCAAACACATCAATTGGATACTAGTATCTAATATTTACCTTACGCCTAAGGTAAATATGTGGATATAAAAAAATTAACCTATGCATAGACTGCTTTTGAGTGTCACATAAAAACAGGTAATTTTTTACAAGTAAATTAGGTGGCCGTCTTATTATGCTTTGATTACTTGATTCCGCTGGGGTGTTTTCGAATAGGGTGCCGCAAATGCAGCAACGCCTCAACGGTATCGTCCACTTATGGAGGTTGCTGAGCCCTTGAAGGTCAAACCGTCGTAAAATGATTGGTGCATCGGCTCGATAATTCGTGAAGAAGCGGCCAAATCAAGACACTTTTAGATTTGGATGGAGTTCAGGCACATTATATGTGATAACGACCATCCTTCAAGTAACGAAGATGATGCCATCGTGATGATGCGTGATACAGGACGAATCTTCAACGATATTATGTCATCTCGACGACCTTCAGTCTTCAGTAATAAGGAATCTCACTGTAGCGGTAAGTAAATCCCCAAAATATATAGCACTAAGTTTTCGACATTGGATGCTGACCATATGTTTTAGTGGACTCATCTAGCTGAAGGCGCTCGGTCAGGCATCCGCACCAGATCACGTGTGGTAACGCCGTGCTCAACATCAACCGCAATCGCTAGCCAGATTAGATCAGAGAATTCCGATATATTGGTCATCGCCAAATATACTCTTCCGATCTCCTCGACTCTGTCTTTTGATTTCTCTTGGTGGGAACGAAATATATTAGAAGGTGTTACTGGTAGAAGCGTTGTCAAACACTGAATACCTGTGACATCATCATTGGTGAGACCGTCGTGATCTGGTACACCTTATTGCAACTGTGAGTCTGTTCCTTTTTGGGATTTTTATATATCATTGCCTTATTTTTTTATTTTTTTAAACATTGTGATTTTTTTCGTGTTTTTTCTTGGATATATATATTTTTCCCCTCGTTCATTATCGTACTTCATATTTCATCATGACTGAACAGACACCTAAAGTACTCAAGCTTAAGACCTTGTCCCCACCTTCGTTTCAACTGATGCCTTTCTGGCCCGACAACATCGAAGCCTGGTTTTGCTACGCAGAAGCCGACTTCTCCGAGCACGGCGTGATCGACACACGTGCACAATTCCTCGCAGTAGTCAAGGCACTGCCGCGCGAATTCAACAGGTACGTAACACCTAGTATGTTTACTAGTGATGTTTCCGATCCTTACGAAATCTTAAAACGCTCGATTCTTAAACGAGGAGACCTAACCGATCGACAAAGGTTAGATCAACTCTTCAATAACATCGACCTGCAACACGGTTCTGCGACAGACATGTTGCAACGGATGAGAGAGGTTATAGGCCCAAGAACTTTCGACGAAGGTCTATTCAAACAACTCTTCTTGTCAAAACTTCCCCAACAGGTGCAAGCAGTTCTGGTCTCGTTCCAGAACAACGCCTTAGACGAGCTGGCTGCATCTGCCGACCGCATTCTAGAAATTACGAAACCTTCTACTACCGAGGTATTTTCAGTCAAAGAAAAGCCTCACACGACTCAGAATGATATAACCGACTTATGTCACACACTCACGCGTTATCTTAGTCTTCGTACCGACCGTAAGAGATCGCGCACACCACGTAGAAGCATTTCTCGTAAGCGATCTGTCTCTAGACCACGAGAGACAGATAACCCCGACTGGTGCTGGTATCATAACCAGTATGGAAAGTTTTCCAGAAATTGCAGAAAACCCTGCAATTTTCCCAACACGAAACCGACTGATTCGAAAAACAATTCGGGAAACTTCCAAGCCGGCACGCGTTAACGGCAACCGTAGCCGGCGAACAAAGCCGTCTGTTATTCGTCACAGATGTGACAACGAGAGTTCGCTACCTCGTCGACACTGGCGCAGAAGTTAGCGTTCTCCCAGCAAATCCTAACGACCGACTTCACGAATCGACCCTAAACTTACAGGCGGCAAACGGAAAACCGATCGCTACGTATGGCAAAAGGTACGTTTACCTTAACGTGGGTTTACGCAAACCCATCCACTGGATTTTCGTCGTTGCAGATGTTTCTATGCCAATCATTGGTATGGACCTTCTACAACACCACAATCTGATCATCGACACTCGCAAACGGAGGCTAGTAGACGGAAACACTAATTTGTCCGTTTGCGTAACTTCTTTTACTGGTTGTAGAGTATCCCCAGTCACAGTTAAACATATGATAGACCCACTCTATCAACCACTACTCGATAAGTACCCTGGGATACAACAAACGCAACCGAAACTACCGTGTGTAACCAGCAATGTTACACATCACATCACGACTACAGGACCACCTGTATTCTCTAAAGCACGACGACTAGCTCCTGAAAAGCTAAGGTTAGCGAAAAACGAATTCGATCACATGATGGACTTAGGAATCATACGACCGTCAAGTAGCCCATATGCATCTCCGTTGCACATGGTCCCTAAAAAGGACAGCAACGATTGGCGTCCAACTGGTGACTATCGGCGATTGAACGCGAAAACCATTCCCGATCGTTACCCGTTGCCTCACATTCACGATTTGACAGCTACCTTGAAAGGTACAACTGTCTTTTCGAAAATCGACTTGGTTAAAGCGTATAACCAAATCCCTATGGCTACTGACGACATACCGAAAACAGCTATCATAACTCCCTTCGGACTCTATGAATTTTTGCGAATGCCTTTCGGTCTAAGGAATGCTGCTCAAACATTCCAAAGATTCATAGACGACGTTTTTCGAGGTCTCAACTTCGTACACGCGTATGTTGACGACTGTCTAATCGCAAGTCCGGACAGAGAAACACATCTCAAGCATCTGGATCTTGTTTTCGAACGATTACAAAAACATGGCATAACTGTAAACGTTCAGAAATGCCAATTCGGAACCGACTCATTAGACTTTCTGGGACACACTATCGATGCTCAAGGTATCCGACCCACTCCAACCAAAGTGGCGGCCATTCTGGATTACCCAGAACCGACCACCGTCAAGCAATTACGCACGTTTAACGGCCTCGTAAGTTTCTATAGACGTTTCATACCGAAATGCGCATCACTTATGAAACCTCTGACCGACCAACTTCGTGGAAATGCGAAATCCATTAATTTGGACGACACCGCACGAAAAGCATTCTCCACAGTTAAGGAACTGATGCTAAAGCAACAATGCTCACACATCAGGACACCGAAGCACCCATTAGTATCGCAGTAGACGCATCCGTACTCTCCCCGTGAGTCTCCACAACTGGACTACATTTCGCAGTTTACTTCAGACATTCAACACATCTCTGGAGCAAACAATGTAGTTGCAGACGCCTTATCTCGCATAACTTCCTTGAACAGTTTCCAAGGAATCGATATTCTTAAACTCGCCGAGCTTCAAGAAGAAGACAGTGATCTTCAGCACGAGTTATCGTCCGCAACCCTTAAACTACGAACCAAACAGACGGGAACAAGTGAGGAAACCTTACTTTGTGACACATCTACAGGTAGGGATCGCCCAATCGTGCCGAAATATTATCGACGGGATGTCATCAATACACTGCACAAATTTTCTGTTGGGGACGATAGATCCCCAAAACTCAAATTTTTGTAATTTACTTATCGATTAAATGTGCAGATAGGTCAATTGATGAACTATCGATTAAATGTACAAATAGGTCAATTGATGAACTATCGATTAAATGTTCAAATAGCAGTCAATTGTTGATTAATGTTCAAAAATCTTCCATGACAATATCGATTGTAAATATTTGTATAAATACGCTTGATTTGTGTGCTTGACTTGACTTGTTATCTGCTGTTTGTCTGTAGAATACACTTTCTACGCCTTACCAAGACTTCTTGATCGAGTTAGCAGAGTTGGGGACAACGGACCAGAATAGTCTATCGAGTCGCTGAATCATTGATCCTTCGTTCGTTCGAGTAAGACGCATCAGTAATAGCATTCAAGCAATAACGAAACATAACAATTTGGCGACGGGGTAAAAAAAAAGAACAATCCAAAGTCAGCCTTCAGCATCCAGATTTGTCATCAGTGTCCTTCAGCAACATTAGTCATTAATCAAACAGTAATTTTCATTACGGGTGCTGGATAAAAAAAAAGACTCTCCCTTCCGATTGAGTACAGCTGCTATTTGAAAGACAGTTGGAGTTTTTAGTCAAATTACGCACGCAGCTGTTAAATCACTCATGCTTTGGAGATGCAACGGAAGTGGATGGATTGATCTCTCAACTGCACACAGAGCTGGAAAATGATTGCAGCCCCAATGAATCCCCGATAAACCGTATTTCAAACGGTACAACAGTCACTCAGGATTCGCCTAGTGGTCCAGTCCTCTCCATTCCAGAAACATGCCCGGTAATGGACTCAAACTCCATTATCCCCAAAACAGCATGTGCAGACGGTGACTTATCCAGCTCACAAACACACTCCCTGGTAAATGCTCATAGAATTGTCGCAATAACCACCCACGAAACAGAAAACAAATCGAGCAGTACACTGAATACAACTGCTTCAAATGGTTCTCATCAGTCTGCGACAGATGTTTTTGACAAATCTTATTATCAAGATTCTCTTTTACCAGAAAATATGTCAGATGCATCAAATGATGATCAAAAACTTAATACAATTTTGATAGATGCTAATTACCTTGATGATTCATTATCTACAAATAAGATTCCAAATAAATTTGGTCACAATATTTCAGAAGAATTAAACTTCGAACACCTCATATCAAGTGTCGTTCAGCCTCAAGACTTAGTCACTTTCAGTCAATTCTCTGTTCAGTGCGATAAA